GCTGAAGCCGAGATGCCAGGTCAGGAACCATAATATTTCAAATTCTTTGAATCTTATCTATAATCTCTAAATACATAGCAGAAGTACAAGACCAGTCATGGTCCATTTGTTTTTTTTTCTCCCCAAAAGCAGCCTATTGTAAGCTTATGTTCTACTGCAACATTTTTTTTATTGATTGTTTATCCAATAAAAGGCTCGTGAGCCACTTAGGTTGGGTGGTTGCTGATTGAGGTTGTTGCACGTGAGAGGAGTAAGTAAGAAGTGCAAGTTTACGAGGATATGTAGGAAAGATAACGGTCAACCAGAGATAAAGAGGTTAAAATTGTAGTGACCTGAGAAGCATCTTTTTGGTATCTCTTGCAGGATATCTGGAAACATTGAAATATCTCGCTAAATGGTGTCTTCAAGGGAATGGTGCCAGGAAAAAGAATTAAAGGACAACTAAAACAGAGATAGAAGGATAAGATAATTCTGTGATCACAACTAATGAGTAGGAGCCAAAAGGTAAGGTTGCTCAAGATCGTAATAAATGGCGGGAAATAAGTAATGTTAGTTCGCAATCTGCCGCAGAGGGAAACAGCGCTTAATGAATGATGTCTTTTAAATCATTTCACCCCAAGCAAGGCGATAATGCCACTACGACTGATGCAAGGGTTTGCTGAGTGAAGAGAGAATGAAAAGACGTTAGTGGGGAGAAAGGACAATAAAAGAACATGTGAGGAACAAGAAAACGCTTGCTTGGCGCGTCAGGTCTTGTTGAAAGATCGCGACCGCCATTAAAAGTGAAATGGATTATTCCGAAATTCCTATCTCACGTGCAGATGTACAATGGGAAAAAACAAAACAAAAAGAAACTAAGAATTCAAATCAGTTTGAATTTGTAAGATAGGAAGTCTCGCGCGAACGAGAATTCAGTCTCGTATGTAAATATTAGCTTCCCCCTCCCCGAGTCTGATGACGAAGGGGGATGCCGAAATCTTTGGTTGGCGTGACGTCGTACGAGACGAACGAGAACGAGAGAAGGAGGAAGAGGTCTGTTGCTTGAAAGCAAGCACCTTAATCAATTTCAGTTATCGCAAACGTCTGGCGAACCAAATTAACCACAGACCACGATTTAGGAAGACATAAGATGGCGTCTGACGTTGCATCTAAACTGTTGAATATTAGAAGTGGCAGGGAAGCTAGGGATCGGAAGAGAATTACACAAGGGAGAAGTGAGAGGAAGGAAGCAACTTGATGTAACCGGAAGTTCTATTCCAGTAATTTCAGTAGTAAAACGATAAGGTCTATTTGCCAATCTAGTAGTACGTTTAAACTCATGCAGTCGTGGTACCAGGGAGTGAGGAGAACTCATGAGAACAATTGCTATTAAATATTTATAGAAAAGACAGAGTGAATCCACGTCACGCTGGCGGGAAAGTGACTGATGTCGATATGTCAGGTCAGGATCGAAAACATTACAGATTTTGTCAAGGATATAGCAAGAGCGTCATACCAGACGTGGCATCGATATTTATAGATTTATAAATATGCCAGATGGATTCTGGCAAGACACGGTGAACTAACGTTCCTAGCAGCAGACCTAGCAATTAATCTAATATACCGTAATTTCTCGAAAATAATACTCACCCATATATAATACGCACCCCGATCCAAAAATTAAGAATTATATCTATCCCTATGTATAATACACATCTATAAATTTTGTCAAAAAAAAAAAAAAAAAAAAAAATGACGAAAAATTTTGTGATATTGAGCTGTTCGCCCGTGGTCAACTCCCAGTCGCGGCGCGAATCTGTAATATTTCGCCTACCGGCGTTTTGCGGTTGACTCTTAGTCGCTGCCACTAGCCTGTGTCCCGGTCGATCGGTGGTCGTCGCTACCCGGTGGAATTCTTTGGTCAGTATACTAAGTGGGATGGTCGGTCGATGCTAACGGCTTCACACCAGCTGCAACCAGTTCGACATCAGTTCCGTCGTTCACAGCTCACTTCCAACGTCTGGTTACCGAAGTAACTGCTTCGATCTCAAGTCTAACCTACCCTCGTTGTGATTTTGATCTGAGGTAGACGAGATCAATCAGGCGTCGGGCCGTAGTGTAAGATGAGTCTAGACTGGAGGTAATATCGCACAAGCGTAAAGAAAAGAAGCAAATAAAAACCCAAGAGGTTCAAGTATGTTGAAAGTAACAAATTAACATTTATCCGTCTGTTATATACAGGAGTGTGTTCTTCTCCCAGCCCGTTTTCTACGGAGTGTAACACTTTTACGCTTCTTAGCCAAGTTCTGGTCTTTTAAGTCAACTGGTTTAGTTTTTAAGTGCTGACTTATACTGACGAACGAAGCTATTGGCAGGATAGGCGAAGTCGGAGGTCGTGGAATCTCTCGGTCAGCTTCTGGTTCCTAACACTTGAACTGCAACTCCAAAGGCTCTGAATCCAACTGGCTAACTCTCCGAGGGCGTTCGTTTATATGGACATCGACCAAAAACCGGTTCGGGGTTAGATGCAGTCTGGTGTTTTCGGTAAATTCCGATTTCTGACAAGAAACCTCTTTGTTGTCTGGCCAGGAAAATTGATTATTTCCCATTTTTGAAAATTAATCACTTTCCATTTTTTGGGGGAGGGATCCCTTCGTCCGTGAGGAGAGGTTGTAGGAGAGCTATCATCCTAAACTCCCCCTTTCTCATATTGATACCTCATACCACATCCTTCCAGTGGGCGTTAATAATTTCCCCGTCTTTCTCATCAAATTCCCCCCGCCTATCACCATTGCTACCACTCTACGAATGGCGTCCCGGCCGTGCGGGCGTGGCTAAGCTGGCCTCATTAAAATTATAACCTAGAATTTTTGTTTACAAAATTCTAGTTCTCACTGGCCCAAATTCTTACGAATACCATATGGCCACTTAAAATCTCTCGGATCTTTTGGTCATTTTGCGTCTTCTTAACCAGCACTCTGTACAAACTCTATCAATCAATTGTCAATGTCTTCTATCTGGTCCCTTCATAAAGTTAACGTCTACAGGGACCCTTAGTTTCTCAAAATAAATAAATAATAAATAAAATAAAATAAAATAAATTGAAAATAAATTTCTTTATCTCCAAATCGGCAATTCTTTCGAGATATTTTCTCATGTCAAAATTTTATAATCGACACATGGCTTCTTAACTGGTCGGTACTCAAGATGATATCTTGGAAAAGTAAATAATATTAATTCTCTCTACGCCGTATCGGCAAATAATTTCGGAATATATTTTCATGCCAAAATTTTCACAATGAACATATGGCTTGTCGCCTGATATCTTAAACGCTTTTTTCTGATTCTCGTGTTTTCTCGGCCAGCAATCATTAATCAATTGTCAAAAGTTGTCATATGGCCTTTCTGCGAGTCCATTTTTACGCCAGTTCTCGGGTTTTTGAGAAAAGTAACTCGATCTTATTTTTAACGTAAAAAATAAAAAGTCTCGGAGTATCTTCTTTTCCGTTCTCAGTATTTTCTTGTGTAATTTTAATGGTTAATTTGTTAATTACCATCGCTAAATAGTGTCACAATTTTGTCGACATTAAGAATAAAATGTAATTTACAGTAAAAAAAAAAAAAAAAAAAAAAATGGGTATTATTTTCGAGAAATTACGGTAATCACTTTATTTCACTCCAGTGGAAAACGTAAGGTCAAGAAGGTGCAGTAAGGTGTACTTGTTTTCTTATATTGCACGAACTTAAGTTGTTTGACTATGCTTGATTAATCGATTTACCTTCATGCTATACATAGAAACAAACAACGAAATAACTTACCAACGTCTGTATCTTTCAGCCCTGGCCATAAAATGGACGAAACGAAAGGACTGGAATCCCTCGAATACCATGCCAATGATTATAATTAATAGGATGGTGATCGAGAGACCTAGGTAAATAAAGCAAAAATAAGAATAACGACTTAATAATGACTTATAAATAATTTACAGTAAATTATGAACATAACAATGACCTTATATAAAATAAGGATATGTTGGCCGAGTGACTAGTTGGTTTTGCCACACAAAACAAACAATTATATAAAAATTAAGCAAACATGAAAGCGACATACCAATCCGCCAGTAAACTAGTGCTGAAATATTCGGTTATATTTAACTTTCGAATAGTTTTATTTTTAAATGTATTTTTGATAATTGTCACTATTTCTAGGAAACGTTTCGGCTGTTGTACGCTCCGGCCTTCTTCGGTGGTTGGAATGTCGAACTGAACCCTTTATTTCGCTCACTGGGGTAGACTGTTCTAGTTCCACGTGCCATGTTTAATGGATGTCAGTTATCAGTTATCTCTTGTTAATTCCCCTTTCCAAGTTCTCAACTGCCCTAACCGGGCATTGAACTCACACTCTTTGGGTCCTGTCACTGGATCTAACTAACGCCTTTATCCACTGTGCCATGTGTCCTTGAGAACTTGGAGAGGGGAATTAACAGGAGATAACTGATAACTGACATCCATTAAAAACATGGCACGTAGAACTAGAACAGTCTACCCTAGCGAGCGAAATAAAGGGTTCAATTTGACATTCCAACCACCTGAAGAAGGCCGGAGAGTACAACGGACGAAACGTTGTGACAAATATGGCGACAAAGATGAGGACAATAGTCCGAATAATGTAAATAGTGTACATAATACCTCATCTCAGAAATATAGACAGATACTGAAGGGCTGAAACGTTGTAATAAATATGGCGACAAAGATGAGGACAATAGTCCGAATAATCTAAATAGTGTACATAATACCTCATCTCAGAAATATAGACCGATACTGAGGGATCGTTTAGATGTATTTCTTTTTTCAAATAATATTGATGCATTAAAATCATTTAAGACAGCGAAAACTAAATTTAGTATTGTTTAAATGTTCATTTTAAGACATTCACGAGAATAGGATTTTTCAGATAAATTTATAGTGATCCATCTCTAAATCAAAATTTTATTAACGAAAGTTTTCAAAAAATAAAATTCAGAAGTAGATTTGAGAGCTATTGTCAGTCCAATTAGGGTTGGAACATAGCTGCGGTAAGGTCAGCAACAGCCTGGAGACTTGGCTCCTCCAAATTTTGACAATGCAATCAAGAGACAGGCCGCCAATGTTACAAGGGAACATTAGCTTCAATGCTCTATACAGGAAGGGGTAAACAAAAAGATGGAGCCTCTCTGAAAAGTATTGTTTTATTTACATTAGTCGGACTGTTGTACTCATCTTTATTGTCATATTTATGACGTTTCGGCCGTTGTACGCTCCGGACTTCTTCAGGTGATATACGTTGGAATTTTGAACCGAACCCTTTATTTCATGTAGGCCGTAGCGGGGAGGGGTGATTTGAAGACAGTATCTGACTCCTCTACCATCCCAGATATCTGCCGTGTACCCGAGTTCAATCGTACTGTCGTTAGTACCCTTTTCGTGTTCTGAAAGTTTTCTGGGTTTTCTACGCCATTCCCATTTATTTGCTCATGTTTAACAGGAGACACAGATTAGATTGTGGCCGAGTTCGAATTCCACCCGAGTTCATTACATTCACTTACGTGCTTGGGGAATGGTATAGATCCAATTCTTTTCACCCTAGCTTTGGGTAGATATTAGGACAGACTGGGTGGCAACCCATCTAGGAGAAGTAAATCTGAATTCAAAACTGTATGTATCGCTGGCGAAGCAAATACTATGCAGCTAAGGAAAGGATCGTTCGCATTGACTCAATCATCTCGACTACGGTCGATTACTTAACAGACTGGGTTCTATAGCTTTGGGTGGCAACCGGTCTATGAGAAGGAATACTGTATTTAGCCCTGGCGAAGCACATAATATGCAGCCCTCGTTCGCATTGACTCAATCATCTCGACTACGGTCGATTACTTAACAGACTGGGTTCTATAGCTTTGGGTGGCAACCGGTCTATGAGAAGGAATACTGTATTTAGCCCTGGCGAAGCACATAATATGCAGCTAAGGAAAGGATCGTTCGCATTGACTCAATCATCTCGACTACGGTCGATTACTTAACAGACTGGGTTCTATAGCTTTGGGTGGCAACCGGTCTATGAGAAGGAATACTGTATTTAGCCCTGGCGAAGCACATAATATGCAGCTAAGGAAAGGATCGTTCGCATTGACTCAATCATCTCGACTACGGTCGATTACTTAACAGCCATGTTAATTCTTTCACCTGCTGACCCTGAGAAATGGTCTTTTCAGCTTGTTCCTGCGATACTTGGCAGGCGTCTTTCTCCGGGTTGATATGGCGGTTTTATTATTGTTTTCTTTTCAGATGTTGTGTCACTCGCTGGACCATGTAATCTTTTAGATTTATGTGGGGATTGGGAAGGGTTTTCTGTTGGTATAGATGTGGATGTTGGAATGGGAGTGGTTAGGAATAGTGAACGTAAGAATGCCTTTTTGATGCCTCTCATACTGGAAGAGGTATTGGTCACTGATTTCGACAGTGGAGGAACGGCAAATGATTTTTTTTGAATGTTGGGGAAAACGGAGCAGATTATGAGGGACCCCCCGCCCAGACTTTTTTTTAAATGTTTTCTTGGAGCACATTCTTAAGTTGCTTTAGTTTCACACTTTTCTCGAAATACGGCTCGTATTTTTTTTTTAAGCCCTATACCCACGATCGATATTTTGGCCGGGACATCGCTCTTGGAACTGAGAGAGTGAGCTGGTATGTGCCTTTCTCTTTGGGGCTGATGCCCCGCTTTCTTGTGATTCCCTATGCCCTTACCACCGACCAGTAATTTCCCCTTTTCCTTCTCCACGTACGCACGATCATGCCCTTTATAACTCTTTGAGACTTAATCCCTAGGGACGTCAACGACTTGATGATGGTGTCTTTCGTGGAGTGACAAATTTTGTGCGGACGCTTGTCCACCACGAAGACTGGCACAATTCGTTTTTCAATCTTTTGCATTTATTGGAGGTTCACCCAAAATCCATTGTCTTTGATAAGATGTACGTATCTTTTGGCTCTCTTCAAAAACTCTGCGATATTGATTATACAATTCGGCGAGGACTTCAGCAAAAGGGTGGGTTGAATTTTTATTTCGTTTCGGTACATTTGGATTATCACTCTTCACAATTTCATGTCCTTTGTAGCTCTCGATATATTTTGCCCTTTTTTAAATCCACCCTAAACCTTGTTCCGCCATCCATTTACTCAAACTCACTAGGTAATTTATATATTTTTCCTCTATTTCTCTTTACCTTCAATCTGCTCTGTAAGTATCAAATTTTCCAAGCTCACTTTCCTCATTATGTGCTCTAGAAATTTCAACAGTCTCTTTCTGATGTTAAGTATAAGTGTCCTTTTTGTTTCCATTTTCTCTAAAACTTGCTAGGTAGGCTATATATTGTTTTCCTCTATCCCTCTTTGCCTTCAATCTGTCCTGCGAGTATCAAATTTCCAAGCCCTCTTTCCTCATTATACCTAGAAATTTCAACTCTCTTTTTCTGATGTTAAGTATAAGTGTCCTTTTTGTCTCCGTTTACTCTTTAAAACTTCGTCGCTGCTCATATGTTCGGTCCATAATATTCTCAGCATCCTACTGTAGAACAACATTTCTGTTGCTTCAAATCTCTTCTTCATCAGTGAGGAGATTGTCCAGTATTCTTTGCCATATATGAGGAATGATATTATATAACAGTTCAGTACTCTTTTCTTTATTTCTAACAAAAGTTTCCTGTTCCTTAATACTTTGCTTAGCTTTTGAAAGACATCTTTCGCTAGACCAATGCGCCTTCGGATTTCAGTGTCACACTTTCCGCCCTTTGTTAAAACATTTTCTAGACATTTAAGGTGTTGTTCTTGTTTTATTTTGGTATCTTCAATTTGCAATTTGTGTATTGGGTTGTTCATTTTGCTAACAACCATGCATTCATGTTTTCTTGCAATTATTCCCTTCTTCTCGCTATCCTTCTCCACCTTCTTTAGTTTTTGCAGTTTCCTTTTAGTGTTAAAATACAACAATGACTACCGTTTCGTTTTTATTTTCTCCTCGAAATGCGAAAACGCGCTGGAACTGCAAAAGATGCCTTCTAAAAGTTAAGCAATGAATTAAGAAACAAGAGAAATTTGTTTGAAACAAAGAGGATAGCGGTGAACTGTTACGTAATATCAGTCCTCCTCTATGGCAGTGAATACGGGATAATCAAGAGGAATCTTGAGGTAACAGAGATGTCTGTCTACACAATGAATACCACGAGAACATTTTATGAAAAATGGAAACAAAATGGCTACCTAGATACAGAAATAGCTGAAATTTCTGGGAAACATAATGAGAAAAGGATAGGATGTTGCGGAGAGCCATTATCGTCTATGTCCTGAAGTGACACGACACATAGAAAACTAAAATTTGCTCTCAGTGACCTTTAAAGTGAATTTTTTTTTTCATTTTCAAATTTTAAATTTGAAAAAGAAAAGAAAACATCTTACACCTGACTTCACCGATTACCGAAAAAGCGGTTACGATTAATAGCCGACAACCCCTCATTGAACACATCCGTCTGTCAGGGCGGCTATTATAGACGCCTATCCTGTTATTTATACCGTAAGTAAAGTGAGCATCGACAACAAAGAATACAGAAGGCGGCTAAACGAAAGAACAGTTAACAGCAAGAGAGCCAATGATTGCTTCATATCTACATTGAGAAGGACACCAAAGGCAATCAGACAAAGGACTCGCGGGATTGGTTGACGAAAGGCGAACTGAAACGTTAGAATCAAAACCAACAGGTAGACACCCAAGACCAAGTCGTGAATACTAATTCTTTTCGGAAGAACATCTATCAACAAGTGGATTTGGACAAGTGTAAACTACAGGGCAAGGAAATGTGTAAAATGACACCGACATTATTAGCGCTTACGAAATACAAGCGCTGCCATGATAAACTAGGTTCTAAGACAATTGCGTGCTGGACAATTGCGTACCCGACAAACGTATCCATGTCTAATTGCGTACCTCTGATAATTTTTTGAAGCTTTTAAAAGGCAATTACCATAAATTTTGAAAAAAGAAATAAAATAAAATAATAAAAAAAAAAAAAAGCATAGGTAGTAATCATAATTTTTTCTTTAACCCTAAAACACTAACCATGGGTATATATAGTACCCAGCGCAAATTTACCTATTTTTAATTACAATTTTCAGTACCTGATTTTCATACCTAAATAATGTTTTTCAGTTCCTATTAAGGTTAACTCAAAGTACAAAGTTTGAAGTCCCTGCATGTAAAATATTTTAAATAAAGATTTATATTTAATTTTTTTGATATTTTCAAAATCGGGTATGATATACCCATGGTTAGTAATAGTGTAACTTTAATTGATGGTTAGTGTTCTAGGGTTAAAAAAGGAATAAAATAAAAGAAAAATTAAAAGTTTATTTTTGTTTAAAATGCAGTGACAGATTAACAGTGTTACAAGATCGCTCTACACATCGCCAGTATGTTTTTGTTTCATCAGCGTTTTTCTTATGAGAGTGGTAGCTGCAATATTCCTCGTCCACAAATATTCTTCCAACCAGTGTTTGATTTTCAGAACTTACCCATGGGTTCCAAATAAAAATATAATCTATAAAACCCAGAATCTTTTAGATGCTTGAGGTACGCACTGCTGGAGTGAACTGAAACTCCCGGCTTAATTTTCTTTTGCTTTAAAAAATAAATTTTTCTCTCTTTTTTTTTAATTTTATGGTAAGTATCTTTCTGCTTGTTTAGAGTAATTAAAGGTATTTGAGTGAAAATTTCCATAATAAACAACTCTTTAAAAAATGGTAACTTCAAAAAATTATCAGGGGTACGCAATTATCCAGGTACGCATTTGTTTAGGGACGCAAATGTCCAGAGACTCAATTGTTTGGTACGCAATTGTCCGGGACGCAAATGCCCGTCCACTGATGGCCTCTAATCTGTATTGGTGCCTATGTAGGGTGTATCAACTTAAAATCAACGGGAAATAGTACAGCCACAAACTAGAGTAGGTGATCAAAAACGTGTTCATATGGGACATTCAGGCTATATCAATGGGAATGCCCAGGCAGCATTACTGCTTGGGACAGTCCGTGTGTTGAGGTAAATGTTGCATCTCTAAGCGGCAGGTAGAAGCTTCGATATGACCATCATCACTCGGACAAAGAACCTAAGAGTCGGAGGGGATATAAAATCAAATAGTAATACTAATTTTCTAACAGACAACAAATTAAAAATAAAGGTAGGTAAAAAACCAGGACTAATATCCAAATCTCCCTAGAGAACTTAAAAATTTGTGGAAGATGAAAGAAATAGTTGTACCCATCATCACCGAAGGACTTGAAACAATCCCGAAGCATCTTGCAAAGCGGCTGGAAAAAGTAGAATTTCTCGAAGAGTCTTGTCATGTTAATTGAAAGTATTCATCCGCCATTTAACACGGTCTTGTTCGTAATCCTACTGAGTGTCTGGTCACTCTCGACACTAGAAAACCCTTGTTGGGGGGCGACCTGTTTAATCACTGATAATCCAACCTTGCAGCAGTTAGTGCTGGGTTACATAGGACTAGTTGCACTCATCGAATGAACTGACGTAATTATAGTTAATATAATTTATCGAACGGGACAGACAAACTTTACGGGAATTAATTGTGATATGGCGATTTTGTTTGTTGAAATCTATGATTATTAAAATATATATATCAACTAAACTTTAACAGGTGTAAAAATGGTGAGGTCACATAGAGGTCAGACAAAAATCTGGTGTAGCATGGCTCACCCCCTTCTTACACACTCCGTAGAATCACCAGTGATCCGATATCTTGAAACTTGCAGGCGACAATGAAGCGTAAATATTCCATGAGGCCTGATTAGGAGGAAATGTCATTCTGCCATCTTTAAAGTTTTGTCCATTATGTCGGAAAATATTTTCTTCTTTTAATGTTTAATAATACATTAATTTAGTTCTATATATTTGTTTTGCATTCCTGTTTGATATGAGGCCCTGGAACATGAGTAGATATCATAAGGGGACTGTGTCCGAAAAACGAAAAAAAATGGCTGACTTCTTTTCTTCTTCTTTGTGCCGTGTCCCTTTAGGTCGTTGGCGATCATGGCTCTCCACAATTTCCTTTGTAGCTCTTAATTTTACTTTTTTCTCGCTTTTAATAGAAACCTACTTTTTTGCTTGGGGTGAAACAACAAAAAAAAAAATTTCGATCCCTTTTCCTCTGTCTATTTGCCTTCAATCTGTCCAACTCTCTTAGGTAAAATTTGCCCCTTTTTCATTCAGTGCTAGTGGCTTTCCCAAATGCTTTGCTTTTTACCACATTTGGGGTGAAACGGTTAAAAAAAAAAAACCTCACGAGCTAGGCAGGGGTTATGCATTTTCCCTCTGTCTCTCTTGCTTCTAACGCTTAGCAATTTTAAACAAGCGTAGATATGTAACAATACAACCTGTCCTTGTCGAATTTTCAAAGCCGGCCCTCAGGATTTCTTATTTTTCGCCAATATACATTACACCACCCGCACATCTTGTGTCTTCACTAATAAGTATCTTTATCTTTGTTGAATTTCAGCTTAACATGGGAACCGGAGACCTGAAGTGCTTTTAAGTGGGGTCGTGATTAAAAGTTTGGTACAGAATTGTCGAGCTTGAGGTGTGAGAAAACCACTTCTAACAGCAAATAATATCGCATTAACACAGCTGCTTACATCCGGGAGGGAAATCCCATTAATTCAACTCTTAATATTTAATCAGGGCGTAGCAAAGACTTGTCAGTTTATTGAATACAAAGGAAATGATTGGTTCTGTAACGACTTGTTCCGGATTTACAGGGACATCATAATAACGGTTTAAAATGGCTAAGAACTTTTTGCAAATATTATGATTGACTGACATAGTGGTGGTTTGTTATTTTGAAGAAATACTTACCGAAATAGGAATCTATGTGCCATCCTTTTATTATGAAATCGGCCGTCGTGCGAAGGGTGAAGACTAACTGTTAAGAAGCCAAAAAAAAAAAAATAAGTCTTATTCAAAATGGCTGCGTGATTAACGGAGAATTTAGGCGTCAAGAAAAATTTGGAGTAGAAAAGAGATTTCGAGCCGGAGTGTGCAAAAGTAAAAAAAGAGAACAAGAAAGAAGAGGAAAAAGAAAAGAAAATAGAAAAAAAAAGGAAAATAAAAAGAAAGAAAACAAATAAAAAAAAGATAAGAAAAGCAGAAAAAGAGAGAGACTAAAAAAAGAAGAAAAGACAGGAAAACGAACGACTGAGGGGAAACTAAAAAGAGAAAAAATAAAGAAGAAACAAATGAAAATAAGAACTGGTATGGACAAATGAAAAAAAAAAAGAAAACAAAGAAAATCGAAGAGAAAGAAAAAAAAGAAGAGAAAAATGAAAGAAACGAACGAAAAAAGAAAGATTAACGTTAAAAGTAAAATGCAGAAAAGAAAACCTGAAATAAAGAAAACGAAGAAAAAATAAAATAAAAAGAAAGAAAAGAAATGAAAAACGAAGAAAAAACAAGAAAAAATTAAATAAGGAACAAAGAAATGAATAAAAAAAAAAAGAAAAGTGGAAGAAAAATTAACGTAAAGGAAAGTAAACCATTTCTCATTTCTTCTCCAATGAAAGAGAAAAGAACAGAGGGAAGCATGAAGAAAGAAAAAGAAAGAAATGAAAGAGAAAGAGAGGGAGATAAGAAAGAAAAAGAAAAGAATGATGATTATAATGAAGGTAGTTAAGAAAAATAGAGAAAAGAAGGAAAAAGGTCGAAATGAAAAAAAAGAAAACGAGACAAATAAGAAAAATAGATAAAGAACAGAAGCAGAAAGGAAAAGAAAGAAAGAAAGAAAGAAAAGATAAAACGAAGGAATGACAAAAATAAATAATGAATAAAGGAAAAAATGAATGACATAAATGCAAAAATAATAAAAAGAAAAGGATAGAAATAAATTAAAGAAATGAAGAAAATTTATTTATTTTATTTTATTTATTTATCTATTTATTTCTTCTTGTCCCTGTGCAATACCTAATGAAATTGGGCTACAACCCAACCACAGATGGAACAAGCACACACACACACACACACACACACACACACACACACACACACAGCAACAGATGAAGAAAAGCAATGACGTAATGGTCATTTTAAAGAATGAAGAACGACTTCAGGAAACGAATGACCGTTCTTAACAAGGCTCTAATATGAGAGTCAATCATGAATGGGGGCCTCGGTCAATGCTTTATGACTCTCGCTACCTTAAACTAAGCACAACTGAATATTATAAATATTATGAATGGGATGAAAATTGTTCCTGGATTTTGACGTCAAGTTTTTTTTTTGTCCAAATCCGTGATTTTGTTTTTGTTTATGCAAAGTCTCGAACAAACACTCTATAAAATCGACTATTTTTTTTATCCATAATGTTGAACGTGTTAAAATTATTCGACTTTTTAACAAGAAAAATCTTAAGTTGATGTTAAAAATTACCGCAAAACATTATTGATTCATTTAAGATGGAACGAGCTATTATGACATGTCTCTAATTTGTATTTAGATACATTGTATTTATTTTCTATTTTTCTAGTTCAATTGTTCACCTATATTGCATACGATCCATTATTGTATATAATTAGGTTAGAATAAAATTTGTATTTTATATGAATACAACCTTATGAAGATTGAGATGTAGTAGAGTTGGTGGTCCAGTATCTTAGATTGGAGGCTGAACACTTAAAGCAGAGAATATAAAATGTTAAACATTTTTTTTAAAGTCACTAATTTTCTTTCTCTTTTTTTACTCTCGAGCAACTCCTGCTTGGAAAAATTAGTATAAGATTTAATTATTTTAAGTACACACAAATGCATACACACACAACACATTTTTCGTTATCCATCTGATGAAGCCATATAGGCGAAAGGCATTATCGGATATTATATTCGAAACATTCTTTCATGAACGTTTTTACCAAGTGTCAACCACTTATGATATTGTATGTATAAGTTAACTTTCTGTTGGCGTGTCCTTATATAGTAAACAATCGTATTCTTTGAAATGTTCATAGAAATGAATACTGCCTGAAATAAATTTGATACATTTTACTAACGTTTCAGTTTACAGGTAAAAAATTAAGTACAAAGAGTTAGAGAGATTTTTTCTGTAGTTTCAGTTGGTGAGAATTACGTGTTTTTTTTTAGCAGTTTCGCTTATATCTTTTTGCAGAAGAGTGTTGCTTTAAGTTGATTTTTGTAGACGAGCTGACATTTTTGAATTGACCAACTGACAAGCCTGTAACAAAGTCCCGTAGCTATCAGTTTTCAGGAAGTTCATGCACAAGTGGTTTTGAATTTACTAAAACCGGCAACGATTGGATGAAAATTCTTTTTTAGCACTCCGCCATCTTTTTAAAAAACTTTTTACTATTGTAACAAAGAGAGGTTGACGCACATGAATGCACATATGCAAATATAACGTTTATTGATTGAAAATGGAAAACACGATCTTCCGTGAAAGTTACAAACTGTGTCAGCGCTATTAATAGGAAAGAATCTAGAACAATGATATATGAAACCTGTAACGGCTGATGGATAAAGAATAAATTCCAAATCGGGTTGGCGAGGAAATGTTTATAAACAAATGCAAAAGGGCAGGAGGCGATGTTTAATTTAGGTCATTAAAAAAAAAAAAAAAAAAAAAAAAAAAAAATAGACGAAAATAATATTTTTGATAAAAACATATTGAAGTAAATTGGGCCGGGGAGGTAAGATCAGTGTATGTTTACCGCTAGCGAAATCTGATCTAAACATAAGTTGTATCCGCTGAATTTGGTTATCGAAAAGACAATTGAAATGAATATTGAACTAATGAGAGAGAGAGAGAGAGAGAGAGAGAGAGAGAGAGAGAGAGAGAGAGAGAGAGAGAGAGAGACTGCCGTTGCAGTGAGTCGGTCCAGTGGCGAGTCAGAGATAAGGACTTCAAGAAATATCATTGTCGTTGTAGCAGTCGCATTGAAAAGTCGCTGAAACTTAACGTTTGTCACGACAACCAACTGAAAAGCTACACTTCACGTAGGGCTGGAATTACGAGTCACATATCCTCCCAAGTTGATTTGGAACGAGTTAATCACACACACCTCTCTGTTGGTATAATTGGTAGAGGAGTGGTCCTCTGTTCTTATGTTAATTGTTTTTCTATCCTTTCAGTAAACTCTTTCTACTGTTGTTGTTTGCTTATATAAAAGACATCAATATTTTACCCATTGTTGTTCGACTGCAGATATTATTTCCTTGTTTGCCACATACTAATTTTCCTGCCGCCCACCCTCACAGCCGTGCCTACATCCCCAATCGACCGTGAACGTATGGACAACATCCGGCTTACTGGATCTAAAAACTAACACAACGTGGGCAGCAGGCGGAACTTGGCCAGTGACCGGTCGAACAATCTACAGGTACTCAGGGAGCATGCGGCCAGATATTTCGACCAATATGGCATTTTAATTTTATGTCTATTTTTCTTTCTCTAACTAAAGTTTGCAAGTCGAAATTGTGATGCGGTCTTAAAGCCAGAGTGTTTTTAGTTTTGACAGCTAAGTGCCAATTTTCCTACAGATGAATTGTGTTTTAGATCCCGTTTTCGAAGAAAAAAAAAAACAATATTGCATTAATTTTCAAATAACTAAATATTTAAAAAATAAAATGTCCCTTCAGAACATAGACGTTCATGACTCTCCACACATTCCTTGTCTTTATTATCTATGAATTGCCATGCGTTCTTGGAACAAGTGGTGAAGTGATTTCCTATTGCTTTTTCGACGGTTTTTACATTCAGAGTTTTCTCTTAGACTGGTTGCCATCCAAAGCTATAGAACCCAGTTTGCATTGATATTTAACTCTTAGTCGGGGTTTGGGGAGAAGAGGTGCTTTTCTAATGTCATTTGTGCGAATCTGAACGAAAGAGACGTGGCTGGAATTCGAACTTGACTCGCCAATTCCACTTACTGTGCCAATATCCATTACACCACCGGAACATCAAAAACTTAATATTACTGGACAGGTAGAAAAATAGGAGTCAATTAAAAATGATATCACTTACCGGAGACATTGTGACTGAAGGAATTTGTCTCTTTAAAGCCGGATTGAAATATCTATAATTTTCTGAAAAACAAAAACAAAAACCCTAGTTATTGTAGAAAAAAAAAAAACATGTACATAAAATTCCGTTGAGTTATAACAGAAAACAAACCTGAGAACAGTCTCAACTTACTTCTTTCTTTTTATGTGTTGTATCCCTTCAGGAAGTAGGCGGTCATAGCTCTCCTCTTGTAGCTATCCCTTGTAGCTCTCAATAAGTTTCGTCCCTCTGCCACCCCCCAGACTACGTTCTGTCATCCACTTGCTTAAGCCCGCCAGGTCTCTCTTTCCCTCTATCCGACCTGTGAGTGTCAGATTCTCCAGGCCCTCCTTTCTCATTACGTGTCCCAGAAATTTTATCTGCCTCTTCCTGATGTTAAGTATAAGCTTCTTCCTAGTTTGTATCCTCTCCAAAACCCCATCGTTGCTCACACGCTCGGTCCGTGATATCCTTAGCATCCTTCTGTAGAACCACATCTCCGTGGCCTCGAGTCTCTTTGAGGAGACCGCCCAACATTCGCTGTCGTAAAGGAGGACAGATGTCACGTAGCAGCTCAATACTCTTTTCTTTGTTACCAAAGAAATCCTCCTGTCTCGCAATACGCTGCTCAGCTTTTGGAATACGTCCTTGGCCATCCCAATACGTCTACAGATCTCAGTGTCGCATTTACTGTCCTCTGTCAAAACCCTTCCCAGATATTTAAATTTCCGCACCTGCTTGATTTTAGCTTCCCCGACCTGTAAATCGCATTTTGGGCTCATCCTTTTACTGATGAACATGCATTCTGTCTACTTGTAGTTTATGCTTAGACCTTTCTTCTTGCTCTCCTTCGCTACCTTCTGTAAGAGGTTTTGTAATTCTTTTCCGTGTCTGTCATCTGCGTATCTTATGTCGTTAAGATTGTGACCGCCAATGCTGAATCCTGGTGAATTGCCTCGCTGTATAGGATAAAAATGTCCGGTGAGAAGACGCATCCTTGTCTTATGTCACTTTCTATTTTTGTACACTGAACTAATTCACTTTGCGCATGCATGCCGTTACTTTGTGTGAATACAAAAAAAAATGGTACTATTCTCGTAGATATGTTGATAGGCCGATCGCCAATCTCAGCTAAGAAATTAACCTTGTTGATTTCCGTAAGGCTTTCATGCTGATAGCTTTCTTGGACACCTGGGGTCTTTCGGCCTTTTTGCGAAACACCTTTGGGATTGTTCCAAGTGCTTCAATGATGATATACATAACTTTTATTTCCATGTTCTACAAATTTTAGCCCTCCATTAATGCTGTGATATATTTGAACATCCCACAAAATATTTTGCATTTATATTGTTATACACCGTACCTATGAACACTAAAGGGTATGTCCCAATCTTCATAAATACGTTGGACACTATTGTGTGCGTGTGTGTGTGTGGGGGGGGGTAATATATTAGTAGTTCACCACTAGCAGTGGTTTACCTACTTCACGCCGCTGGCGAGTGTTGTAATTTGTTGATGTTATAATGATTACCATTTCATTTCCAACTTCCAGTTTGGATAATCCTTATTCAGTAATCCTTCTAGATTGCAACAGATATTTAGTAAGTGGTAAGTCCTATTTTCATTATTAGTCAAGTAGCTTAATGAACAGTCTGGTTTGGTTGTTTTTGTTTAGTGGCATATCAACACCTCTATGGGTTATTTAATGCCGAAATCTAAATATTTTGAACGCAATTTTATGCCTTCAACTGCAGATATTTTCTTCATAATTTTATACTTTCAGTGCAAACGTATGTTTTTTTAAATATATATTTTGTAGATGATAAAATCTCCAAGACCAGTTGCCATCCAAGGCTATAGAACCCGGTCTGTCCTGCTATTTACCCATAGCTGCAGGGAGAATAAGAGGGTTAATACCTTCCCCAAGGATATTAGCGTGTAAGTGAATGTAATGGATTCGACTGGAATTCGAACTCAGTTCTCCGATTCCTCAATCCAGGCGCTATCCACCGTACAAAAAAATATATATATATAAAAATATATATATATATATATATATATATATATATATATATATATAAAATTCAAGGTTTGAATAAGCAGCTCTAAATAGAGTCTGCCAAAAGTAGCCTTCTGGCATAAAAGTGCACTATGCTATAAAAATGACACAGCATTTGTATATTAATTCAATAATCAGGTAGGAAATGACTGGCCACTACTTTAAGTTTGCACACGATCTTCAGGTAGCCAGTAATATTTGCTGACCTCCCCACGAGGTAGGATGTGGCACAAGGCCGAGATTAATGCGGGGCAAACCGAGCCCGTAGGCTCGGCCAAAAATTTCTCGTAGACCCCGCGTAAACGGGGTCGGGTCTATCTCCATCCACGGACGAGATTGTCCTTCAGCATAGCCTCGTCCTGGTTCCTCTCTGTCCGAAGGCATTGAGTTCGACAACAGCTAAGAGCTTAGCACGTGGCCAGCTTCAGCTGCTTACCTATCTGAATCTTCAGTAACTTGCAGTAATAAGATGATTACCTTATATATCACTGAGCGAGTACAATTTGACAAGCAAATCAAACCCGCACAGTAGAGAGGCTAGATCATCCAGCCAAAACCTAAAATGGCAAAAAAAAAAAAAAAAAAAAAAAAAAATCAACCAAGAAAGGATTGCCAGTATAACAAAAGCTATATATAAATATATATATATATATATATATATATATATATATATATATATATATATATATATATATATATTAAAGAAAAGAAAACAGCTTGTCAGACGACATAACAACTTAGAGTTGGAAAAATCTAGGAAAGAAAAAAATAAGAAAGAAAACCTAAAAGAAAATACCGACCCATGCAGTAAAACACCCAATGGGCAGAACAAAAAAACGCTTTACAACGTCATCACTTAATAAAGGACACTGAGTTGTTACTTAAGTTTACCGTTCTCACGATCTACAGACGACTGTATAAGTAGTCACTCTTCAAGAATTTAGAGAAAAATATTTTTTTGACGAAAAAAAAAAAAAACAAAAAAAACACAAAACAGAAGTCGCTATAGATGTCTTCAGATGTCGCTGCAGCCATTACTGACGTTGTTTGTATACATTCGCTGCGGAATAGCTATCGAGTGTAATATCGTCTTCATTATTGCGCAAAATTGTACTTGTGTACGTAAATAGTTCTCTTGCGAAGTAATTGAGACAAGTTGAGACAAGATCAGTAAAAAAATATCCCATTAACTACATTCTTTCGCGTTTAGCTTTCCGCAGCGAATGTATGCAAGCAACGCCAGTAATGGCTGCCACCAACGACGCGAATGAATCCGAACTTTTACTGTCGATAATTTCAAAACGATAGACTTTATCAAATTTATTAAGCCAGATTCGAATGAAACATGTATAATTACACATAAATGTTAATATTCTGGAAATTTTAATGCGAACTGAGCGCGGGTGCTAAACTGCAAATTAACCACACTATTTCACTTAAAAAAAAAAACAAAAAAAAACACAGTCGTACTCATTCCTTGATGGTAGGAATTATCTTGCGGGACAGCAAAAACCCTGCATGCATTGGGAAAACCAAGACATAGTCGAGGAAGAAGATTAAAAAACAAAACAAAAAAAGAAACAACATAAAAACGACCCTCCTTTCAAACGACGACTCGGCTGACCTCTTTGTATATTACTATATTTTTACCTATTTTCCTTTCACCCTTCAAACTCAGACAGCACTTCAACGCTTTCCGATCTCCGTTGTAGAGCTCCATGCATTTGATCTTTTAATCCATAACCATTTTGAAGCTTTTTCGGCAGATTCCGAAATTGCTCTGATGGCCTTTCTCTTTTTTTTTTCTCTCCCCTCAA